TGCAGCAGCAGAGATGACATCCTGGAAGCACAACATGTGGGGTGAGGTCACCTGATACATTTAGGGGTACAGAAAATGATTAAATATTTCTGACTTAATAAGAAAAATATTATATAAACCAGTGTGAACATAACCAGCCTTAACAAGAGAAGGACAAGGACTCTGTTTCCATGGAGACTCCTCATCTAGGGATGTGCTGCTGGGAGTGACTCTGAGGACAGAGGGAGGGAGGGGCCTGTGCCAGGAGGTGCCCTGGAGGAGCCTGGGCCAGGACAACAGCAGAGAAGGAGCAGAGCCCCAGGTTAAGCCTCAGCAGCAGCTGCCAGGGGTGCCTGCTCTTGGCAGAAGAGAAAGGGGATTTGTGTCTCACTTCCCCACAGGCCTGGAGCACTGTGTGACCATCAGACTGTCATCCCAACTTGAGCAGTAATAATCAGCCTCGGCCTCAGGCTAGAGCCCAGAGATGGTCAGGGTGGCTGTGGTGCCAGACCTGGATCCTGAGAATCAATCAGGGACACAGATGTTCATTTGTGGTTGCCATATATCACTTCCCTGGGAGCTCTTCCAGGGAGCTGTTGGTACCAGTGCACACCATGATTCTTGCTGTGATGCCGCCTCCACTGCAGCAGGTGGTGACCCTCTGGCTGAGGGTCCCAGACACTGAGAGTAGCTGAGCCAGCACAGACTGGGCCCAGGATCCTGGACCATGAGAGGTGAGGAGTTGGTGACCCTGGCTCTAGAGACAAGAGGAGGAAGCAGGGCCCCGTGCCTTTTCTCCAGTCCCTGCCCCAGTCCCCATGTCCAATTACCCGTGCAATAGAGAGGAGGACAGGGAGGGCAGGGGAGCAGGCCATGGTGCCCACAGCCCCCTGTTAGTTCCCCTTCCCATGAGCCCAACAGAGGAAGGGCTGCCCCAGGCCTCCCTTTCTTTCCCTCCCTCTGCCCCAGGAGTGGCTGTTCATGGAAATTGTGTTCTTTCCAGGGCCTGCTGCTGGGGACCAGCCTCCAGCATAATGTCACGTCAGGGGTTCCTGAAAGGATGAGACGGTAAAACGAAAGGACTGAGGGGAAGGGGATGAGGTAGAATGAGGAGACACCGACACTAGGTGAGGTGTTAGTATCTTCTGCCGAGAGGCTCAGCAGGTTTTTATTGATACCTTTTTTGCAAGCAGTGAGATTACATTATCATGTGCATAGAAACAGCAAAAACAATCAGTGCATCTCTATTTCCATGGACTTTTGTCCACTATGTGCTCTCAGTAAGAAGACAACCTTGAAGGTTAATAAAAAAGTAAGTCTTACACTAAAAAAACTCATTGTTTCAGCTAAACAATAACCTAAGACAGTTGATAGTCGCCAGTACATCCCTATCAGCCAAAGCTTAAGCAAGAAAAGACTTTTCTTATTCTCATGGCCTTCAGCTGGGGACCGGCTGCTACTCAGCTATCAGAACTTTTTCTACCTAGAAACTCCTTAACTCAAATAGCTTCATTTAAAAACTTTCCCAAGAAACTTCAAGAGAAGGCAAAAGAAGGATCTACTATAATTATTGTGTTGTAATGCTTGTCATGCATGTTCAATAAATTGTCTCCCATTGTCAAGTAGGCCAAATTATTTAATAATTAGTTTCTAACAGATAATTTTCCATGCTGTTTTTTTGCAGTATACTGATGCATATAATTTATTGTCTAATGTACTTTTTGGGAAATTTTTCTCTTTTTATGACCAAGAACAAAAAGTGAAGGAATGTTAGATCTTCAGCCCCATGGTGTGAGGCACAAGGAATCTTCGGCCCCACAGTGTGAGGCCCTTTGAGCTTCGCTGCTTGCCAGTGTCTTATCTGGCTGGGGCAACAAGGCCTCCTGCAGCAGCCTGCCCAGCTCCCCTCTGTGCACTGGGACTGGAGCTCAGTTCACACTTCACACTGAGGAGGAGGGAGGTTTGCTTCTCCCCTTGGGAGAATCTTAGGAGGAAGCACTGACAAAACACACAGTTCCTGGCCCAGGGGATTGTGCTAGGCCACAGCTGACAAAGCCCACCAGTGCTGCGAGCCAGCTGCAGCTGTCTGGGTGTCAGGGGTTCCTGAAGGATGGGACAGTGTAGGTGCAATTGTAGAGAATGATAAGGGAGGGGAAATGAGGAGAAGCAAACCCTTGATCAGGGTGCTGACATCATCCTCCTGAGGGTCTCAGTAGTTCTTTATTTATACTAAGCAAATCGTGAGTGCATAAGCATATGCATTAAGGTAGGAAGATAACAATTATCACGTTTTTCAAGAGCAGCCAAAGATCTGTTTGCCATCCTGCAGAGATTATGACATTTATTATTCTTTGTCTTAAGGAAGGCACAGTTGCTAAACAAATGTTTTTTAAAAACAGTTATTTACTTTAAACAACCCAATAGTTATTATAGTACTAGCAAAGAGCCTATGTGAGTGCAACTAACATTTCTAAGTTTGCCAAGGTGAACTAAGGCGTGTGTGGGGGGGGGAGAACAAAGGGCGGAAAGTAACCTGGGAGATAAAGGGGTATTATTTAACTAACCTATAAAGTTTAGACTGGCATATAACCAAACAATTAAAGCAAAAAACAGAAGGCTATTATATAGAAATCATCATCTATAGTATATTGTTTTAATATTGATTCGATATTAAGGAACCAAGGGCCTGGAGGACATTAATGTCAGGCAAGCCACACTGACTCTTCCCTACCCCCCAGCTCTCAATTAAGGGAGGAATTCTCCTAATGTAACAAAAGAGTTTTCTACCTATTACTCCTCTATTTATCTAGTCAGCCTAGTTTCCGTATCTAACTTTAAGATCAAGGGACAATTTCCTTTTTCCATAAGATTTCTGTTGTTGTTTTAAGGAACTACAAATATTTCATCAGGGACAGGGGCGGAGATGGTTATAGCTCTTGGTTATCAAAATGGTTAATACGTGGCATATCAGTAATTGCAACACTGACTATTTCCAAATGCATTATTTGTGCTGCCATGTTTATTAGCTTAACCAGTAACAAAATTGTTATTGACTGATTCTCCAATGTATACTCTAACAGCTACCATATCAATTGTTTCATCCAGGGGAATTAGCCCTAAACAAAAAGCAAAAACTTAGCAGGAGCCTGCTATGGGTCTCCTGGCTTAACAGGAATTTTCTTAAGGACTTTGGCCGAAAGATGTTTACAGCCTTTTGTTCCCAGAAGTTTTTTCACTTTGTTAATGTAAGGCTGAAAGTTGAATTACTGCCTTTTGGCAGAGAACTACTAATTTTATAAAAAATGTAATATTTGTATCACGCAGTGCCAATTGTCATCAAATTGGCTATTCAGTAATTGATTAAACAGTATTTGCAGTCTTACTTTTAAATGCGTATTTTAACAATGATAGAAACTAGCCATAAACAAATGAGGAGAATCTAGGAGTCAGCTAAAGAGATTCCTGATTATTCAGAAATCTGCCTCATGCCCAGACTTTTGTCAGAGGACATGAGTAGCTTGGCTCCCAGCACACCAGGGAACCCAAGCCCTGCCTCCAAGTCCAGGCTCCTCTGAGTGAATGATCCACCCTGCACTGCTGGTGGGGTCACACTGGGCAGCCCCACAGCGCCCCCTGCTGCTTCCAATGCACAAGGGCACAGTGGCCACAGCTCTGAGCACACTGGGGTCTGCAGCCACCAGGTCACTGTCTCCATTCCAACACCCAGGGGCTGATTCCTAGACAGTGTGTCCCAGCTGTCCATGGCAGCTGTTGATTTTCTCATCTCTGAAGGAATCCTGATCTGTAAATATATAAACATACTCAGAAATGACAACTTATATTGATACACTCATGGACGGCACTGCAAGCGTCATGTCCCTCCTCTGGAGTAAATCATAGAACAGGCACCTACTTTCAGTGTTCCCAAGCTCAGGTGACTTAAACAATAGGTTCCAGCTACTCGCTATTAAACTTGACTTCATCTTATTTTCTTTAGGTAATTTAATTGTATTCCTTATTCATAAGTGAATAATTCCTTATTCATAATTTAATTTTATTCCTTATTCACTTATGAATAAGGAATTTATTGTTCCAAATGAAGAACAGTGAGTTATTTTTTGATGACATTCAATCTATTATTTTTTACTGATTTGGCTCCTGGTTTCTCTGCTAAAAATTTATCTAAAAAACAGTACCTCCCAATGATTTTTCATGAATGTTTCCTTATAAAATCCACATATTTTCATAAACTCCACTCTCTGGTTGAGAGAAGACTCCATGGGATCAGGCCACGGGCTCTGACCTCACTGGGCACTTTCTGTCTATTACCCGGGGCCAGGGTCACAGAGAGCTCACAGGTGCCTTGTGCAGCTGAGTGGCACAGACGTACTCAAAGCCAAAGTGGCCTAAAATCCCAGTGTGTGCTTTTAATCGAGTTGATCTCAAATGCGGTGATATTTTCCCCTGATCGTGAACACATGGCAGCTTTTTGTGCCTCCTGACATGGAGAGGGGCCATCACTGGCTTGTGCTGCGTGGAGCACAGATGCTTGTCAAAGTCCTCCCTGCGAAATCAGCCCCTCCACACACAAGGAATAACCCCTCATTGTCAGGAGAGCAGAGGTGCAGACACCATATTGATGAAATAAATCATTTCCATTAAGTGATTGCAAAGGAAATAGGCAACCATGCATCAAGATGTGTGTGTGTTGGGAGGTGCCGGGGATGGTTATGCAAAAGAAGGTAGAGGGACTCATGAAACACAATCTTAAACAAACATTGGAGCAGGAGGTATAGGACAGGGCAGCCCTCCCTGCAGGGTCCGGTTGAGGTCACACCCAGGATGGGGAGGCTCTGGAGACTTTGGTCTCACGCCCTGGTGGGTCTAGAGCACTGAGTTTATTGCTGCTGTATCTAAGACTGACAGTAGAGTTGGCCTCATCCTCAGTCTCAGCCCAGAGATGGTCAGGGAGGTGGCATTGGAGGAGCTGTCGATGGAGCCAGAGTAACTGTTGGAACCCATTAAGGTCTATGATCGTCGTCATCATAGATCATGGTGCTGGGGGGCTGTGGCGCTGCTGGTACCAGCACACATACGCTCTTCCAATGTTGCCTCTGCTGCAGGTTCAGGACATGGTCACCTCTACCCAGACTCTGACACCGAGCAGGGTTGAGTCAGCTCAAACTGGGCCCATGTGCCTGTAAAGGAGCAACTCAAAGTTAAGCGAGGATGGATATGACATTGATTCTGGGGAGTAGGGAGAGGTCATCATCTGGGGTGACACCCCGGTGCCCTCCCAATTTCCTTGCTGGCACCACCTGTGCAAAGAGTGAGGAGGGTGAGCATAAGCTGAGCCCAGGCCATGGAGATGTCCAGGTTCTGCTTCCTGAGCCCCACAGGCAGGACTGAGCCCACCTCCCCTTAGGAGTCACCCTTATCCACAGGGTGGGAGGTCTCCATGCAAATCTCCCCCTTTCAGGAGGCTGAGGAAGCCCCTCCTTCAGTTAAGCTTGGGCACCAGCTGAGAAAACACTGGGGAGGATTAGACAGAACACCTGCCAGAGGCAGGGGAGACAGGAACTCCCAGCTTAGGAATTGGGGAGACCCCTGCCTTTTGGTGGATGCAGGGGACATGGTGACCTTGGTCTGAGGCTGGTATCAGTGCCTCCCCCACCACCACCCTCATTTTTCAGAACCCTGCCTTGTTACATTGGCTTCTTTAATGAAAACGAAGCATGTGAGCTTTTTGCCTGTATGTTTGTGTCTGATCAGTTTTTCATTGATCTCAAATTCCATTGTAAGGATGTGCGAGGGTTGTCATCCACCACCTGTAAAAGACATACTGGTTGCTTTCACGTGCTCACAATCGAATAAATCAGCAATAAATTATGTGCATGCTCTGTGTGAAACAAGTCAGTGATTTAGGAAATAGCTACAGACTGTGATTTCTGGATTGTTTCAGGCAGGCGTTTAGTAGCGACAGTGATTCAAAAGTGAATGTGACATTTGCCATACCACTAGCGATGAGTGACAGTCTCTGCTGCCCACACCTGCACAGGTTGTGATGATGTCACTGTGTTTAGACTGAACCACTCTAACAGGCGACTAGTGTCCTTTCATGATTTACAGGTGCATTTTCAAGGTAACTAACACTGTTGAACAGCTTTAGATTTAATTATAATTTGCACATCTTCCTAAGTAATGGTCTTTTTACCTATTCAATGGTGGGAGGGAGTCCTCTCCCTGGGCACCCAGAAATTGAGGGTCGCCAAGGGTGAGGAATATGTATGAGACTCTGTCTGTGCAGGGTGAGAGCCCACCCATGTGGGTGTGGAAGGTCCTCCCAGGCACCCTTTGTGAGCAGAGCAGAGCAGTGGGGAGGTTTTTGTCTCACTTTCCCCTGGGTCTGGAGCGCTGTGAAGAGTCTGTGTTTCCATGATATATGGCCTCGTCCTCAGGCTGCAGCCCCGAGATGAGCGGGAGGCCAGCATTGGCTGAGGTGTCTTTTCTCCAGAGAAGCAGCTGGGGACCCCCGCGGTCCTGGCACTTATCTGAGTCTGAATAGTAGTACAGGAGATACCAGGAAGGGCTCCCTGCCTTCTGCTGGTACCAGCTTTTCTCATAATCCCCAACACTGAATCCACTGCTGAGGGTGCAGGTGAGTCTGGCTGTGGCTCCAGGAGACACAGAGAGGGAGGGCGGCTCAGTCAGCACAGGGGTTTAGGGCATGGGGGCAGGGGTCAGGATGCATAAAGTTGTTACAAAAACCCAGGTGAAACGTTTTTGTTGTTTTCATTTTTGCTGGTTGTGATTTTGGCATTTCTACTATTCACAAAGACATTTATCTCAAAAGAAAGTTTTTTAAATTTTTAATAATTTTTTTGTTGTTATTTTCTGTATGACCAACTCAAAGACAGAAATCACACAAAATCAATCCATTGTTTAAATTAAGCAAATAATAAAATCAGGTGCAAACTGTAGTGGTCGATCCTTCCAGAGCAGCCAAGTCAGTGCTGAGGCCCCTTGACAGGTTCACAGTCCAAGGTTTCTCGTCTTGAAAACTCAAAGAAAATAAATAAATTCAAACCACCTTAGAAATAATAAACTATTCCTGAGGTAAAGGAAATTCTCTTTTCTTGAAGACCCCTCACCTAGGGATGTGCTGCTGGGAGTGACTCTGAGGACAGAGGGAGGGAGGAGCCTCCCCCCAGGAGGTACCCCAGAGGAGTCTGGGCCAGGACAGCAGCAGAGAAGAAGCAGAGCGCCAGGCTGAGCCTCAGCAGCAGCTGCCAGGGGAGCCTGCTCTTGGCTGAAGAGAAAAAGGGTTTTTGTCTCACTTCCCCACAGGCCTGGAGCACTGTGGGACCACTCAGACTGCTGTCCCAACTTGCACAGTAATAATCAGCCTCGTCCTCATTCTGGAGCCCAGCGATGGTCAGGGTGGCTGAGCTGCCAGACCTGGAGCCCGAAAATCGATCAGGGACCCCTGAGGGTCGATTGTTGCTACTAAGTAAGTCACTATATATCAGGAGTTTGGGGCCTGTTCCTGGGAGCTGTTGATACCAGTCCACATAACCATGCTTCCCGATGTTGGAGCTGCTTCCAGTGCAGGAGATGGTGACCCTCTGGCCCAGATTCCCAGAGACTGACTGTGGCTGAGTCAGCACAGACTGGGCCCAGGATCCTGGAAGGAGAGACACAGAGATGGTGATGCTGGGCTCTAGAAACAAGAGGACTTATCTGGGGCCCATGCATCTTCCCAGGGCACTTCCCAGCCCCAACTCCAGTTACCTGTGCAGTGAGAGAGGAGAACAAGCAGGAGAGGGGTCCAGGCCATGGTGCTCACACTTCCCTGAGCCCACATGGGGCTGGGCTGCCCCAGGGCTCCTTTTCTCCTCCACCCTCTGCCCCAGGAGGGGCTGTGCATGCAAATGTGTTTCAAGCTGTGACTGCCCAGCCCCTCCCTGAGCCCTGGTGCAGGAGCTCAGCTCACACCCACACTCAGGAACAGCAAGGTTTCTTCACCCCTTAGGAAAACCCTGGGAGGAAGCACCTGCTGCCACCACACACAGGTCCCTGCTCAGCAGGTGTGCCAGACAAGAAAGAACACAGTGCTGTGTTCCCACCTGGGAGCACAGGGCCTAGACCTAGGCCCATAACATGATGTGACTGACCTCACTGCCTGGTGTGTGGAGAACACTGGGCAGTCCCATTGCGCCCCCTGCTGGTCTCTGCACAAAACACTCACATTGACCCACAGTTCCAAGAACCCAATGGGTGTCTGCAGCTCAGGAGAGACTGTCTCTATTCACAATTGCATGTTCTGATTCCTAGGACTGTGATTCCCATACATTGTATTTGGGTACTGTCAATGAGGTGCACAGAGTTACTCACAGGAGTATTTTGAGAACATTATACTAAAAGCTAAATGATCCAGAAGAGCATTAAATCCTGTGATATTGAGGATGGGTTGGTTGAGCTGTGAAGGGATTTAGAGAAATCTCAGGGAAATGTCAGAGAATGGAAATTCCTAGAAATAGCATCAATAGCATACTGAAAAGTGGGAAATTCAGCAACAATTTGAAAATACATAATTATTAATATTGTTTACAGATTAGAAATCATTTAGTGAAAGGCTTGGAAAACTTCACGTTGATAAAGCCTGTAATATATTTCTTGAGTTCCATATGGAGCTTTGTAATCTTAAGATTTTAGCTTTTGCATATCTGTGTCATATAATTTGTTAGAATTTTGTCTTAGGACGCATACAATTTGTTTTTATTTTAAATAAAATTTTCCTTCCTGTATGACTTACTCACTATGACAGTTTAATAACAAATAAAAGTGAGAGTTTAATGTTTTCATGTAGCCGGGAATGTGTGGAGAGCTGAATTCAGAAACCACAACCCATTTCCTCTCCATACACATTTTCTACTCTGCTTTCACCTTGCAAAAGTCCCCAAACTTCTAAACTCTGGGGGTCTTGAGCAAATACCTGTGATCTCACATTCTCTCCTCAGTCATTCAGAGGATCCTCCTCCTTCACCTCAGGCAGGTCAGTAGCTACTCAAGCCCTCAGGACCCTCACTGCTCTGGGCATGACCCCCTGCCTCCCCTCAGGAGCTGCAGGGTCTGCCCTGTTCCCTCACACACCTCACACCCTTCCTTTTTCCCAGACCTCCAGCATCCCTCACACTCGTAGCTTAACATCCTGAGCCCTGTCCCTTCTATGGTCCCCAAGTTGACGCCTCCTCTGTATGGGGGAAGGGAGGGCTTGACTGGGTGCACAATGAAGACATAGTATGTCAGATACCCTGGATCAGTCACAGCAGTGCACACCCCTATCATCCCAGACAATATAACAGAATTGCTAATAATACTGTGAGCAGATTTATAGAAGGAAAAACTATGTAAATAATCCAAAACGATTCACTTCTCCTCCTACCTCAAGCAACATCAATAAGGCTCAAGGTGTTACATCTCGTCTTTATCCCTCAACACCCCATCCCCCCAACTCCTCATTTAATGTGAAACGAATCCTAAGCACCACATCACTGCATTGGTCTATGCTCTGGAAGTTACAGGCATTTATAATGTCCCTAAATGATTGTACAGTAAACAATAGCAGTGGCTGTTCTCAAGGAGGAGGTAGGTGTCATCTCCCAGAATTCCTTGTAAGCAGTTCTTGTGCAGAGAACAAGCATGGTTAGTAGGTCAGGAGTCTGGGTCATGGGGGTGATGCTCCCCCAGGTCCTATTCTTTTTTTTAAGATATATATATATATATATATATATATATATATATATACACACACACACACACACACACACACACACACGCTAGTACTGGGTACAGTCAGAAACGTGGGAGGGTGAGACAATTCACCAGAGCCAGAGTGGGGAACAAAACAGGCCGTCTGACGAAGTACACTGCTGAGGGGAGCAGCGGGTGTGACAGGAGAGGTCTGCGTGCCATGTGGGACCCTTGCCTGGTAGCCAGGGATTGAACTGGCACTGCAGAGATTCACAGCCCAGCACTCAACTGCTGCGCCATGTAGGAGGCCCCCCCAGGTCCTACTCTTGACCTCACACCAGACCTAAGCCCACCAAGCAGTCTTACATGTCCCCTCCTGAACGTGAGAGGTCTCCATGCAAATATTCTACTTTTTGATGGTTTGACATGCCAGTCTTGTAAAGCCATGGTACAGCTGAATAAAGAGAGACCAGAAGTGGTGGGAAATGAGTTACCCCTGGAAAGGTGGGGGGGGGCCTCTGCAGGACAAGGGGAGCTCACACAGCTCTCAGGTGGCAGACTCTGAGCAGGGACCCAGACACAGCGCCCTCTGGAGCACTAGACATGTGGATCCTGGGCCAGTGCTGATGCTCTGGGCTGGCGCTCCCCAACCAACACCCCTCACATTCCAGACCCCCAGCCAAGGTGTCTGCACAACAGCCTAAGCTCACTGCACTTAAACATCACTTCACCAATGTATGCTCTGGTGTACATTTATAATATTCACCAAACTATTATACTATAAACAGTAGTCATGACTGCTCTCTGGCAGGGGGTAAGTATCATCTCCCAGTTGACATGAAGCTACTAGAATTCCTTGCAGCCAGCTCTTGTGCAAAGAGCAAGCAGGGTGAGGGGGAGAGCACTTGAATTCATTGTGGAGATGAACCTCTGATCTGATTCCTGATATCAACCCACCAAACGTATTTCTTTCCTGTGATACTGAAGGTGAAAGATCTCCATGAAGATATACTTTTTCAAGGTTGTACAAGTCCCTCCTCTACTTAAGCCAGGATGCACATGAGTAAAGAGAGAGCAGAAGTGTTATGAAATGTGTCACACCTGGTAGGGTGGGGGGACCTCTACAGGACAAGGGGAGGTCTCACAGTAGTCAGCTGGGGGCCATGAGCAGGGCCCAGACACAGCACCCTGTGGTGCAGGAGACATGTGGATCCTGGGCAGTGCTGGTGCTCAGGGCTTGCCCTCCCCAGCCATCACGCTCACATTCCAGACCGACAGTCAAGGTATCTGCACAGCAGCCTAAGCTCACTGCTCTTAAGCATCCCAAGCATCCCAGCTGTGCAAAAGTCCTGGACAAGCAAAGCTATCTGTGTTGTTGGAGGTATAGAATGTCTTGGGGTGAGTGGCTCTGCATGGTGAAATGGAGGCCAGGCCTCTGTCTCTCCAGAAAGTACCAAGGGGCAACTGTGAGCTCCTGCTGTAAAGGAGGCCCCACCACTCAGGCAGGAAGAGGGAGGAGCACTGGGGTGCTGTACAGACTCCATTGTCACAAGGCACAAGAATCCAGAAAAATTCTGAGGAGACAGAGATGAGAATATGAGCCAGAAGAAAAATTTATCAGAGCCCATAATCAATAAATACCATGAAGAATTGAAATTAGACATGAATATGGAATAGAAACAAGTGAACTAGAATTAGAAGAAATCTCATTTATTTTTTTTTTAAAGATTTATTTATTTATGCATACAAGAGCTAGGTACAGGCCAGAGATGCAGGGAGTGAGAGGATTCACCAGAGGCAGAGTGGGGAACAGAACAGGCTGAAAATACTGACTGAAAATACACTGCTGAGGGGAGCACTGGCCAGTCAGGAGAGGTCTGCGGCGTCATATGGGTTGCTCCCTGGTTGGCCAGGGATTGAACTCGCACTGCAGAGGTTGAGGATTGCTTCATAGTGTGGTGCTTAACCCCTTGAGCCATGAGGAAGGCACTGAAGTCTCATTTCTTTTGCAGCATATTCCATGTCACTCAAACTAAGGACCAATTTGCTTATGAAGCTGTAACACCCCCATCCTCCCCACATTCACACCCGGTAGGGCACTGAGACAAGTTTTGGAGGGTACATTGATTTCCCCTTCTTTTCACAAATGCACAGTCTGTGGGTCTTCATCTCTCCTTGCCTAGTTAGCACATTTGGCAGCCCCTAGGGGTGCATCGCTTGCACAATAATATCATGGAAATCTGTAAATTGTCCAACTCTGCTCATGTCTGCGCCCACAGGGCTTCTCCCCTGGAGTCCACAATGTCCGAGTGGTTGGGATTCACCTTCAGGTTCTCGGCACAATAGAGGGGCCTGGGCCCATGTGAGAGGAGAGCACAGTGGGCATTTGTGGTCAGGGGTGCTGTACAGACTCCATTGTCACAAGGCACAAGAATCCAGAAAAATTCTGAGGAGACAGAGACAGATAAGATTGTGTCCAATCTTATCACCACGATGAGCCCACGTGTGTCTCCATGTCCCATGTCCCCATCCCCAGGGAGAGAGGTGAGTCTGGCTGTTGCTCCAGGAGACACAGAGAGGGAGGGCCACTGAGTGAGCACAGTCTGGAAGAGGGAACCTGCAGACACAGACACATGCACACCAAGATCAGTCCTAGATGGGTGTGGGACCCAGTGGTAATGCTTCAGGATAGACACCATGCAAATATGTCCACCCACTGCCTCTCCCACTGCACTTTTAACTTCTGGGGTCCTTGAATGGGGAGGAGGGTATGAGGTGCTAGTTTCCACATGCGTGGGCCTGGGAAGAAGCAAATGCCAGGTCCACACACAGACCCTTGGACTCCTGAGAACAGGGCTGCTGAGTCCCCACAAGAGCCAAAGTCCAGCCCTGGGGCCCTCCTCTCAGTGCAGGGCAGCCCAGCTAGAAAATCCCAAGCTGCAGAAACACCCAGGGAAGTTCTTGTGGCGCCCCCTGCTGGTCTCCAGGAGAAACTTTGTTCCATGTTTCTTCAACCAACTTCACCCTGACTTGTTTCCTAGACTTCTGTGTACCCAGCTTCTGAGAGTGACCCTCACTGAGAAGGAAGGGGGTGGCCTATGTCCTCTCTGCTTGGCCTAAGTGTTGTGTTGGTGGACTAACAGGGAGATGACACAGGAGAGCGTGGGGACTGCTGTGCAGCTGAGGACACGATGCTGGACAGACAGAAGAATGGAGCTGCCTGTTGGCCCAGAGGAGACGGGCTGCCCCTGAGCTGGGAGTGACAAGGCTCAGGGAAGTGTCTGCACCCAAAGAAGTGTCTGCGCTGCTGCTGCTGCTCTTGTGATTGGATTTCCATAGGGTCACATAAGCACCACTACATCAGCGTAGAATAATCCCACTGCTCTAAAACTAATTTCCAGCGCTCACATTCCAGTTTTTCTTCTGTTTCTTCTGTGTTCCTGATGGTACTGATAATTTTTCCCTCTTAGAATTATACTTCTTCAAAGTAGGATACAATTAGCAACTCACAATTTAACTTTTCTCTCATTTTTCTTTTCCTTAGCAATAAAATTCTCAGTACATATCTATGTGTGTTAGTGTGTGTTTAGGTATGTATGTATGTGTATATATATCTATATAACAACATATATAATTTGACTGTATAGTTTTGGTGATTATTCTAAATCTGTAATAAATATAGGTTCACATTTCTGTTTGTTTTCTGTTTTTGCTGACTATGAAAATGTTGGAGCAGTCAATTGCCGAATTTTCTATGGAAAATTTGTTTTGGACTCATTTATATTAATGTATAAGTATATATTGCTACCCTTTTCACCAAAAATAAGAAAATAAACAAAAATAACCACTACTAGGTAATATCAGATACATAATAGCATCAGCGGCAGCAGGGCTGCCATCTTGCAAACACAGCATGGGTTTGAGTTCCCCTCATATATTCAGGGGCACATAAAATGATTCATTACTTCTGATTTAATAAGAAAAAAATTATATAAGCCAGCCTGATAATAACCAGCCTTACCCAGAGAGGACAAGGACTCTGTTTCCATGGAGACCCCTAACCTAGGGATGTGCTGCTGGGAGTGACTCTGAGGACAGAGGGAGGGAGGGACCGCCACTCAGGGGGAGCCCTGGAGGAGCCTGGGCCAGGACAGCAGCAGAGAAGATGCAGAGCCCCAGGCTGAGCCTCAGCAGCAGCTGCCAGGGGTGCCTGCTCTTGGCAGAAGAGAAAGGGGCTTTGTTTCTCACTTTCCCACAGGCCTGGAGCTCTGTGTGACTGTCAGACTGTCATCCCAACTTGAGCAGTAATAATCAGCTTCAGCCTCAAGCTGGAGCCCAGAGATGGTCAGGGTGGCTGAGCTGCCAACATGGATCCAGAGAATCGATCAGGGACCACAGATGTTCATTTGTAGTTGCCATATATCACTTGCTTGGGAGCTGTTCCAGGGAGCTGTTGGTACCAGTGCACACCATGATTCCTGCGTTGATGCTGCCTCCACTGGGGAGATGGTGACCCTCAGGCTCTGTGTCCCAGACACTGAGAGTAGCTGAGCCAGCACAGACTGGACTAGGATCCAGAAAGGGGAGAGAGGAGGAGTTTGTGACCCTGGGCTCTCGAGACAAGAGGAGGAAGCAGGGCCCCATGCATCTTCTCAGGTCCCTTCCCTTGCCCCATATCCAATTACCTGTGCAATAGAGAGGAGGACATGGGGAGCAGGCCATGGTGCCCACAGCCCCCTGTTAGTTCCCCTTCCCATGAGCCCCACAGAGGAAGGGCTGCCCCAGGCCTCCTTTTCTTTCCCACACTTTGCCCCAGGTGGGGCCGTCCATGGAAATTATGTTCTTTCCAGGGCCCGCCCAGCTCTTCTGTGCACTGGGACTGGAGCTCAGGTCACATTTCACACTGAGGAGAAGGGAGGTTTGCTTCACCCCTTGGGAGAATCTTAGGAGGAAGCACCAGTTGATACCACACCCATTTCCTGGCCCATGGGACTGTGCCAAGCCACAGCTGACAAAGCCCATCAGGGAGCCCAGGGCCCAGCCCCCAAGACAAGGATTCTCTGAGTGAATGATCCTCCCTGCACAGCTGGTGGGAGCACCACTGGGCAGTCCCACAGCGCCCCCTGCTGCTTGCAATGAACATGGGCACAGTGGCTAACCTCTGAGAGCACAGCTGGGGTCTGCAGCCACCAGGTCGCTGTTCCCAGTCCAACACCCAGGGGCTGATTCCTAGATAATGTGATCCCAGCTGTCCATGGCAACTGTTGTTTTTCTCATCTCTGAAGGAATCCTGATCTGTAAAGACATACACATATTCAGAAATTGCAACTTATGTTTTTGATACACTCCGAGAAGACATAGCAAGCATCATGTCCCTCTTCGGAGTGCAATTTAGAACAGGTAACTACTTTCAGTGTTCCAAATCTAAGGTGCCTTAAAGAAATGTGTTCCAGCTATTCACTATTAAATTGACCTCATCTTTTTTTCTTTAGGTAATTTAATTGTATTACTTATTCACTTAAATATATCAAATGAAGAACAAATGGATTTTTTTGATGACATTCAATTTATTATTTTTTATTGATTGGGCTCCTGATTTCTCCTCTAAAAATTTATATAAAAAATAGTGCCTCCTAATGACTTTTCATGAATGTTTCCTATATAAGCCACTTATTTTCATAAACTCCACTCTCTGGTTGAGAGAAGACTCCATGGGATCAGGCCACAGGCTCTGACCTCACTGAGTGCTGTGGCGCTGTCTGTCTATTACCCGGGGCCAGGGTCACAGAGAGCTCACAGGTGCCTCATGCAGCTGAATGGCACAGACAGACTCTATGCCCAAGTGGCCTAAAATCCCAGCACATGCTTTTAACTGAGTGGATCTCAAATGGGGTGATATTGTCCCCCAGAGGGTATCTCGAACATATGGCAGCTTTTTGTGTCTCCTGACATGAAGAGGGGGCATCACTGGCTTGTGCTGTGTGGAACACAGATGCTTGTCAATGTGCTTCCTGCAAAAGCAGCCCCTCCACACACAAGGAATGACCCCTTGTTTTCAGTAGAGCTGAGGTGCAGACACCATGTTTATGAAATAAATAATTTCCATTAAGTGAACACAAAGGAAATAGGAAACCATCCATTATGATGTGTGTGTGTGTGTGTGTGTGTAGGGATTTTGTAGGTGCTAATGGGAAAGATGGTAGAGGAACTCATAACACACAATCTTAAACAAACTTTGGAGCAGGAGGTACAGCAAAGAGCAGCCCTCCCTGGAGGGTCTGGTTGAGGGTAGACCTAGGACAGGGAGGCTCTGTAGAGTTTTAGTCTCACGTCCTGGTGTGTCTGGAGCACTGAGCTTGTTGCCGCTATGTCCTAATGTTAGGGGGAAGGGATGTCCTGGCCAAACTCCATAGAGGCTTTGTAGTCTCCACCCCCACTCCATCAAGATACTGGGAAGTAAAAATCCATGATCCCCAAAGAGAGAGTTGCAAGGACCTGAGGGTAGAGTTAAGCAGCCATGTTTTTTGTTTGGAATATAACCAGACATGTGAGCTAGGGTCGGCCTCTTGGCCACGGAGGTGCTTTGCTTTTTGCCAGCTTGGTGTGTCTTTGAGATTCCAGGTCAGCAGAAGGGGTAGGACACATTTATGAATATCTCCCTCTTTTCTCCCTGCTATTCAGTTCATTTCCCCTTTCTTATAATTAAACCTTTTATTAACCTTTTGTGTGTACCTGCAGTTTATCATTAATAGTTCTCATTTAAGCATGCGGGTGAGGACCCACAGTCAGGCAACCCATTTCATATCGGGGTTGCCCTGTAACACTAACACTGACAGTAGTAGTGGGCCTTGTCCTCAGGCTGCAGCTCAGAGATGGTCAGGGAGGCGGCATTGGAGGAGCTGTCGATGGAGCCAGAGAACCTGTCAGGGACCCATGAAGGTTTATGATCATCATCATCATAGATCACGGTGCTGGGGGTGCTGCCCCAGCGCTGCTGGTCCCAGTGCACACAGGCACTTCCAATGCTGCTGCTGCTGCGGAGAGGGTCACCTTGTGCCCCACAGACTCTGACACCGAGCAGGGTTGAGTCAGCTCAAATTGGGCCCATGTGCCTACAAAGGAGCAACACAAAGTTAAGGGATATGAACCTGAAACCAGAGAGGAGGGAGAAGTCATCATCTGGGGTAACATGCCAGTGCCTTCCCAGATTTCCCTGCAGGCACCAACTGTGCAAAGAGCAAGGAGGGCGCTGGAGATTCTGATCTGTGTGTGCTGCTTCAGTGCTGCACAGGAGAGAGTGAGTTATATGGAAAGTTCTAGAATCTGGCCAAGAGGTCCTGGTTGGGGACATTCAGGTTTATTGGAAGATGACAGCAGAGGACATGGGGTAGGAGTGAAATACCACATACCTGGATTCAAATGCCACAGCCCAGGCTGTGTGTTAAAACTTAGCTGTCTTACAATATTTTCATAAAATATTAAGGTCGAAGTGGTCTGTTGCCTCATGTTTCTAATCTACCACAACATTGTGATATTTCTCAGGCCTGTATAGTGACTGGCTCTCTAATATGGAAAGTTTTCATGAAAATTTCTGAGGATATAAAAGCAGCTAAGAGGTATTGCACGATGTCCTCTAGCTCTTTCCCTCTCCCCCACCATAGAGTGTTACCTGACTCAGTTTTCATTTCATACCACCTTCCTGGTGTTCTCTAGATGGTGAACCTGTAATTTATACTTATAATTTGTAAGTTATGACATGAAATCCATGACCAACATTGCATTCTGACAGATTATTCAGCCACCTGAAGTTCAGCTGCTCCAGGCTGATCCTGTGCATGGGACCGTTCTCCCTCCTGAGGGCCTGGGGTCTCCATTGCTTGTCCTGCTAGGTCATGGTGTCTGTAATGGTGCCCATAAAACTTAGGCACAGAGACTTCAAGACACATCCCATGAAGTATCTGTTTCCTATAGGTGGCACATCCCCTGTCCTCATCCCTCTTTGGGAGGTACTTTGGACTCCACGACTTCAGCCTTCCTAATCACCTTCTCCTGATGCCAGGGGACACCCTTCCCTGTGAGTACCATTCTAAGGGGCCTCAGGACCCCACGATTTCCTGCCCACATGTACACCTGGCCCAGAACAGTAACACCTGAGAGTGAGGATGGGGCACGACACCCCTCTATCAAGAAATGGGGGCTCATGATCTCCTCCCCACTTGGCAGATTCTCCACTGGCCTTTGACAGCCCCTCTCCTACCTGGGAACTGGGCACAGTCACTGTCTTGCACTCTGCCTGCACCTGCTCATCCCCCATGGCGGCCTGGGGGATCTGGCCCTGACCTCTGGCCTGGCTACCTGGAGTTCTTTCACTTGAGGCAGCAGGACTCCAACCTCACCTGGAATCTCCTTGTGTGCAAGTTTCTGCTCAAGGGTCCCTTTCAAAGGACTCCAGTCCCACTGCACCAGGGAACCCCACTACAGACCTCATCTTCACTAAGTGCATGTCAGCATCCCGTTTTAAGTTAAGATAACTTCTTATGCAAAGATATATTTTTGGGGGGAGGAGTGTCATAACAAGAACTGTCCGGAACAGAGCACAAAACCTAACCATTGCCACGTTGTATTAAGATTTCCTTACTCTTTGCTGAATAGCATATTCTGCTCTAAGGTCTCAGCCAGGTTCCCTGCCCACGGCTTTCACGGAGCTCCTTTGGGCTCCTCTTGGCTGTGACAGTGTCAGAGTTCCCTGTTCTGATGAGTGTGTCCATATTCAGTGTGTGGAGTTCTGCTTGATCACATCCATCAGTGTCACCTCTTTACACTTATTGTTGGACACTGTTCTTCTTGAAAAGTTTGTCTCTTCCCCCCCCACCTCCCATTAGTCATTGATTCCACCATTTTAGCGGGATGCATCATGAATATGTCCTATACTTTGCGTTATAACCCAACACTACTGCATTGTGTGTTTGCACAAACTGTTTAGTTTTGCCCCTGGCAGCCCTGCACACTGGCTCATGTGCTCCTGGTAAATCTTTGTTAACAGGTGTTTACATGTTAACAGGGGTTTACATGTTACTGTGTGGGCTGAGTTTGTTTGTGTGGTTCTTTATTCTATAGACTCCATGCTGCAACATCTTCATCATGTGTGATTCTTGCTTCTTCTGAGAATCACCATCTCCCAAAGAATTCCTCCTCTTATATTGGAGAGAGATTTTAGAAACCAATATTGAGATGCCAGGCATGATTTCTCTCTCATCTGACAGCACAGACAGTATATATTAAATCAAGATCTGGGCTTTGATAATATACACATATCTTAAAAAATATTTCTCTGTATAACGTGGTAACAGTAACATATTTTCAAAACATACCTGTTGAATTGAAATTTGGAGTTCAACTGAATAAAATTAATATCTAGGTAAAAATAAATAACTATCCTATCGAGGTATGTGTACATATCTATAAATATTCCTGAATGATCTGTCTCATGAAGTTAAACATGCCTTCATACTGACACTCCGCACTCCACATCAGTGCTCCCTGGGTTAATCCAGCTTCTTCACCTTGTTTTTAGTGACCTTCTAATCCTAAAGAGAGAAAACTGGCTCCCACTACTGACAGCTATTTGCTGCATTACTAAACTTCCATTCCCTGCCCAGAAACATCCGATCACAGACCAGGCCCCAGGGACACAGCCTCATCCATGAGCGCAGGTGCTCCAGGACACGCTCCTCCCTCCTCTTCACAGTCTCCAGGATTCCAATTTGCCAAGTCAGCAGCTTCCTCCTCACACTTAGGGAGGTGGGTTCATGGTCCATCCCGCAGGCAGGAAGCCCGTCACATTTTCGCTCCATTCTGACCCCTGACTTCCAAGATTGTTTGAATCTGCACATTTAGCTTCTGTTATGGTGACAGTTTCCCATGAGTGCTGGCAACGCCACAGCTGATGCTCTTCGCCATGTGGAAAGCACTCACTGGATTTCTCTCTCTGGCATTCAAGCCAACATGGCTGTGCTTCACCTACTCACCCCTGCCCCTCATCCCACGCCTGTCAGTGCTCATCTTTCCCCATCACTACAGTGTGCCTTTTACAGGCTGTGATAGAATAAAAAACTGCTCTATGTAATGTTATAGACATGATTCTTTTATAAGAAATACCCATTTGAAATTAACATCTGTGCTTGTGACTTATGTCTCATTTCTTCTCAACTCGGTAGAGAACCTGTTCTATAAGTGTACAACCTGCAAGAGACCAGGAGAAACCCAAACTTCTCTCTGGGGGTTTGAGGGTTAAGGGTGTGGGTTGGGATGCATAAAGCTGTTGAAAACATCCAGGTGAAAAGTTTTGGTTGTTTTCATTTTAGCTTATTGTGAATTAAGCAGTTCTGCTATTCACAAAGACATTTATCTGAGGAAAGAAAGTTTTTAAATTTTTAATAAATCTTATGTTATTATTTCTTGTATGACCAACTCAAAGATGGAAATCACACAAACCCTGTCCATTGTTCAATTAAGCAAATAATAAAATCAGGTGCAAACTGTACTGGCCGATCCCTCCAGATCAGCCAAGTCAGTGCTGAGGCCCCTTGACAGGTTCACAGTCCAAGGTTTGTTTCACTTATTGAAAACTCAAAGAAAATAAATGAATTCAAACCACCTTAGAAGTAAACTATTCCTGAGGCAAAGGAAATTCTCTTTTCTTGAAGACTCCTCACCTAGGGATGTGCTGCTGGGAGTGACTCTGAGGACAGAGGGAGGGAGGGGCCTCCCCCCAGGGGTGCCCTGGAGGAGCCTGGGCCAGGACAGCAGCAGAGAAGAAGCAGAGCCCCAGGCTGAGCCTCAGCAGCAGTGTTATAGGACAGGGAGAGGGGCAGCCCAAACCCCGCAAACCTGCCTATTCTAAATGGGTTCTGCCATCCGCCGCATCAACACAAAACATAGGAGACTTTAATGGGAAGGAACTTTAATTAAACTAGGAAACAATACAGGTAAGGCAAAGAGTCTAGTTTCTAGATCAAGCACCCAAAGTTACCCATCCCCTCGTGGGTAAAAGTCCATCCATATGGGATTGGCCCAGAACAAGGCCCCAAAGCCTGCCACAAGTCTAAAGCATCTTCCAGTGGGGACCCACAGAAAAGGGTCACAAACAACCAGACAAGCCCGGAAGGAAAAGAGCAAAATCAACATCAAGATAAAAGCTGCCATGGTCACCTCCCCACGGGTCTCACCCACATCTGTGTCACCTAGTCCACGACCAAAAGACAAGCGCAGTTTCTTCACGTGTCTCTAGGCTCCATGTGCGTCCTCCAGGTCTCCTGGCTCCATCCTGCTTCCTTCCTCAGTCTCTTCCTGCAGCTTCTTCTCTTGCTGCTCAGCTCCACCCTCCCTTGGGTGGGGCAGGGAACCTCCCCCTTTCCTGGGGACCACCCTGTTGCAGCAGCTGCCAGAGATGCCTGCTCTTGGCTGAAGAGAAAAAGGGTTTTTGTCTCACTTCCCCACAGGCCTGGAGCACTGTGGGACCACTCAGACTTTTGTCATAGGACTGGCAGTGATATTCAGCCTCATCCTCAGGCTGGAGCCCAGCGATGGTCAGGGTGCCCGAGCTGCCAGACTTGGAGCCAGAGAATCGATCAGGGACCCCTGAGGGCCGTTTGTCATTACCATATATCAGGAGTTTGGGGGCTGTCCCTGGGAGCTGTTGAAACCACTGCACAGAATAACCACCCCCGATGTTGGAGCTGCTTCCAGTGCAGGAGATGGTGACCCTCTGGCCCAGGTTCCCAGAGACTGACTGTGGCTGGGTCAGCACAGACTGGGCCCAGGATCCTGGAAGAAGGAGAGACACAGAGATGGTGATGCTGGGCTCTAGAAACAAGAGGACTCATCCGGGGTCCACGCATCTTCCCAGGGCACTTCCCAGCCCCAACTCCTGTTACCTGTGCAGTGAGAGAGGAGAATAAGCAGGAGAGGGGTCCAGGCCATGGTGCTCACACTTCCCTGAGCCACTCATGGGGCTGGGCTGCCCCAGGGCTCCTTTTCTCCTCCACCCTCTGCCCCAGGTGGGGCTGTGCATGCAAATGTGTTTCAAGCTGTGACTGTCCAGCCCCTCCCTGAGCCCTGGTGCAGGAGCTCAGCTCACACCCACACTCAGGAAGAGCAGGGTTTCTTCACCCATGAGAAATCTCTGGGAGGAAGCACCTGCTGCCACCACACACAGGTCCCTGCTCAGCAGTTGTGCCAGACAAGAAAGAACACAGTGCTGAGTTCCTACCTGGGAGCACAGGGCCTAGAGCTAGGCCAAGCTCCTTGGTGTGACTGACCTCACTGCCTGGTGTGTGGAGAACACTAGGCAGTCCCACTGCGCCCCCTGCTGGTCTCTGCGCAAACACTCACACTGGCCTGAAATTCTGAGAGCCCAATGGGTGTCTGCAGCTCAGGAGAGACTGTCTATTCATAATTGCATGTTCTGATTCCTAGGACTGTGATTCCCATACATTGTATTGGGTACTGTCAATGAGGTGCAAAGAGGTACCTAGAAATATTTTGAGAACATTATACTAAAAGCTAAACGATCCAGAAGAGCATCAAATCCTGTGTTATTGAGGATGGGCCAGTTCAGTTGTTAAGGGCTTTAGAGAAACCTCAGGGAAATGCCACAGAATGGAAATTCCTAGAAATAACATCAACGTCATAGTGAGAGAATTTTTTCAGCAAAAATTTCAAAATAGGTAATGTCTTTGTTTTGCAGATTAGATTTGATTTAGTGAAAGACTTTGGAAAACTTCATGCCCTGAAGCCAGTAACGTATTTCTTGAGTTCCATATGGAACTTTGTAATCTTAAGATTTTGGCTTTTGCATATCTGTGTCATATAATTTGTTAGAATTTTGTCTTAGGATGCATACAATTTGATTTTGTTTTAAATAAAATTTTCCTTTCTGTATGACTTACTATAAACAAATAAAAGTGAGAGTTTAATGTTTTCATGTAGCCGGGAATGTGTGGAGAGCTGAATTCAGAAACCACAATCCATTTCCTCACCACACCCATTTTCTACTCTGCTTTCACCTTACAAATGTCCCCAAACTTCTAGACTCTAGGGCGTCTTGAGCAAATACCTGTGATCTCAAATTCTCTCCTCAGCCATTCAGAGGATCCTCCCCCGTCATCCCAGGCAGGTCAGTAGCTGCTCACCTCACCCCCTCAAGACCCTCACTGCTCTGGGCATGAACCCTACCCCCTGCCTCCCCTCAGGAGCTCCAGGGTCTGTTCTGTCCCCTCACACACCTCACACCCTTCCTTGTTCTCAGATCTC